AGCTCCATCTGGTATGTCAGCTAAGACCCTGCCTGCCTGCTCTGGTTATCTTCTGCTTGGACTACTGCAATGTGCTCTGCATGGGGCTCCCTTTGAAGGTGACTCAGAAACTACAACTAATTCAGAATGTGGCAGCTAGACTGGTGACTGGGAGGAGCCCCCAGGACCACATAACACCAGTCCTAAAGGATCTACACTGGCTCCCAGTATGTTTCCAAGCACAAGTCAAAGTGTCGGTGCTTTAAAGTCCTAAACGGCCTCAGCCCTGTATATCTGAAGGAGCATCTCAACCCATATCATTCAGCCAGGAGACTGAGAGCCAACTCTGAGAGAAGTGAGGTTACAGGGAACCAGGCAGAGGGCATTCTTGGTAGTCGCTCCCGCCTTGTGGAATGCCATCCTGTCAGATGTCAAAGAATTAAGAACTCTCTGACTTTTAGAAGCCACCTGAAGGCAGCTCTGTACAGGGAAGTTTTTTATGTTTGATATTTTACTGTGGTTTTATAATTTGTTGGAAGCTGTCCAGAGAGGCTGGAACAACCCAGTCAAATGGTCGGCATATGATTACAGCGGTACCTTGGGTTAAGAACGTAATTCATTCTGGAGGTCTGTTCTTAACCTGAAACTGTTCTTAACCTGAAGCACCACTTTAGCTAATGGGGCCTCCCACTGCCGCCACGCCACAGGACCACGATTTCTGTTCTCATCCTGAAGCAAAGTTCTTAACCCGAGGTACTATTTCTGGGTTACCAGAACAGTACGCAATATTCCAAGTGTGGCCACACTGTAGATTTGTACAACGATATTTTTATTCTCGATCTCTTTCCTAATTATCCCAGCCATTGAATTTGCCTTTTTAGCACCTGCCACACTATGCCACTGAGTTGAGTTGAGATGGCATTTGTCTGTCTCGGAAGACAATGGAGGAAAGCACCTTTGAGGGTTACAGCACCTGCTGTGGCTGTAGAGAGTGATAAAGGAAAGAAACATGTTTTGTTGCAGATGAAGGCATCCAGTTGTGCTGCTGCAGATGCACCATGGCATTTATTCTCTCTGCATTCCTCCAGTGGTCATTCCTCCTCTGGTCATGCCATGAGTGCATGACCTGTTTGTCGCCAGACATTGTGGTCATCTGCAAGGGATTCCCATATGGCGGGGTTAAAGTTGCCAGCCTTCGTGTCACATTTGCGGACATCTTTGTAGCACAGAGTTGGTCTGGCAATGGGCCTGGTGCCTGAAGCAGGGGACCTAATAATTATTATTATTATTATTATTTATTTATACTCCGCCCATCTGGCTGGGTTTCCCCAGCCACTCTGGGTGGCTTCCAACAGAATATTAAAATACAATAGTCCATTAAACATTAAAAGCTTCCCTAAAGGGCTGCCTTCAGATGTCTTCTAAAAGTCAGATAGTTGTTTTTCTCTTTGATATCTGGTGGGAGGATGTTCCACAGAGGGGTGCCACTACCGAGAAGGCCCTCTGCCTGGTTCCCTGTAGCTTTGTTTCTCGTAATGAGGGCCCTCGGCGCTGGACCTCAGTGTCTGGGCAGAACGATGGGGGTGGAGACGCTCCTTCAGGTATACTGGACCGAGGCCATTTAGGGCTTTAAAGGTCAGCACCAACACTTTGAATTGTGCTCGGAAACGTACTGGGAGCCAGTGTAGGTCTTTCAAGACCAGTGTTATGTGGTCTCAACAGCCACTCTCAGTCACCAGTCTAGCTGCCACATTCTGGATTAGTTGTAGTTTCTGGGTCACCTTCAAAGGTAGCCCCACATAGAGCACATTGCAGTAGTCCAAGCAAGAGATAACGAGCATGCACCACTCTGGCGAGACAGTCCGCCATCTTCCATTCTGTGGAAATGGACCAAGCCAGAGCAGACGTCACTGAGACAGCAATGCGAACATGCTGTGAATGTGCCCTTGGGAAAGCAAATCTTTGTTTGAAACTCTGTCCTGCCATATGATGCCCAAAATCTTCCTGACGCAACGCATGTGGAAAGCATTGAACTGTCACTTCTGACGGTTGTTGAGTTGCCCATGGCTCACTTCCATAAAGCATAAAACCAATATAATATTACCATTTAGAGAGATATACCCAAAGTATAGTGCTTGCATACCCATGACCCTTATGGCAGCAAACAGGGAGAGGCTCTTTGTCTTTACACCTGCGCAACGGTTAATGAGACTGGTGTCCCTCCCTGCTTAATTCAAAATCTGTTAAAACCAAATGAGCTTATTTCAGTGGGTTTTAATGGGATTTCAGATTAAACTGTTGGCTTCTAATGACAGTGCTGCCTCTTCAAGGCGTGGAGGAAAATAACTATATTAAAAATGCAATGAACTCAGCAAAAAAAGTGGAAGGGTTGTGTTGGGTTAAGTTGCACTGGCAGAGGGGTGCTTTGGATAGGATAGGGAGATTTAAAACAGATGTGTGTTCTCACTTAGTCTGGAGGTGAGTGTTTTCAAGTTTGGGTTTCCCCATGAAAGAAATGAACTCTCTAGCAGCCAACCACCCCCTCGGGTGATGCTGGCGAAGTTATTAGGTTTAAGGCAGGTTGCACGACTGAGGTTGCATAAGGTAACTCTTGTCATGTCAGCTGTTCTGGGATGTGTCAGGATCATATGAGCCAGATGAAAGGTAGACTCTTTTTTAAAAAAACAATAAAACGAAAGAAAGTGCACAGCTCTTGGAATACTGAAGGCCAACACCTCCCAAATTGCTCATTAACACAGGTTAATTGCATACAATCATGACACATACGTGACAAGTAAAGTCATCAGGGAAGTGACAGGGAAAAGTCCCAGAGGGGGGGAATGCAATCCAGAGGCTCGTGGTTTGAATGAAGACATGTCCAAACTTTGTCGGAGGAGGAGGATTTTATGAGTATCCCACATGGTTATAAACTTCTGGAGCATCTTTGTAGGAGTCAGGGCACTTGGGCAAGGGGAAAATTGGTCTGACTCACAGCCAGCTGACATGGGGAAAAACCAGAGATTCCCAAAAGCTCTTCTGCTGTCATATGTTCTCCAGATGGTAGGGCTGCAGGCCAGTGGTAGAGTGGTCCTAGCTTCAGTCTCTGGCGTGGGGATGCAGGTGGCACCGTGGTCTAAACCACTGAGCCTCCTGGGCTCACAGATTGTAAGGTCAGCAGTTCGAATCTGCACAACGGGGTGAGCTCTGTCCCAGCTCCTGCCAACCTAGCAGTTCAAAAACATACCAGCGTGAGTAGATAAATAGGTACCGCTGCAGCGGGAAGGTCAACAGCTTTTCCGGGCGCTCTGACTTCTGTCACTGTGTCCCGTTGCACCAGAAGCGGTTTAGTCATGCTGCCACATGATCCGGAAAGCTTTCTGCCAACAAATGTCGGCTCTCTTGGCTAGAAAGCAGAGAGGAGACCACATAGTCAAATCTGACTGGACTTAACCATCCAGGGGGACGCTGGTGGCACTGTGGGTTAAACCACAGAGCCTAGGGCTTGCCGATCAGAAGGTCGTGTTTCAAATCCCCGCGACGGGGTGAGCTCCCATTGCTCGGTCCCAGCTCCTGGCAACCAAGCAGTTCGAAAGCATGTCAAAGTGCAAGTAGATAAATAGGTACCGCTCCGGCGGGAAGGTAAACGGTGTTTCTGTGCGCTGCTCTGGTTCGCCAGAAGTGGCTTAGTCATGCTGGCCACATGACCCGGAAGCTGTACACCGGCTCCCTCTGCCAATAAAGCGAGGTGAGCACCGCAACCCCAGAGTCGGCCATGACTGGACCTAATGGTCAGGGGTCCCTTTACCTTTACCTTTAACCATCCAGGGGTCCTTTACCTTTACCTTTTACCAATCTCTGGCATCTTCAGGTAACACTGGGAAAGATTCCCTGCCTGAAACCCTGGAGAGACTGCCTGTCATAGAATCATAGAAGTGTAGAGTCAGAAGGGACCCCAAAGTTCATCTAGTCTAACCTCCTGCAAATGTCAGATTGGACAATACTGAGATAGATGGACCAACGGTCTGTCTCAGTACAAGGCAGCTTCCTATGTTCCTATGGGTGGTATTCACCATTCATTTCGGTGGCTCTACTCTGAGTCAAAGTTCACCGAAAGCAACCCTACATTCCAAGTCAATGAGCATTTGGATATTTGCTGAAAAGTTGGCAGATATTTGAAACCTGCACTGACATGAAATAATATTTCGTTATTTTATACGTGTCTCTTGCAAGAATAAAGGAGGGATGCTAATAAATCCCTCCACTTTTGGTTTTTTTAAAAGGTGAATTTGAAATTCGAATGTGAAATTCCACCTTCAGAAACTGTGTTGTGAAACGGGATATTTTGGTGATTTTGTTTTTATATGGGTAAAAAAACCACCACATTTTTGTGCTACTGATTAAAGTCAGTCTTGGCTATGTCGTGTCATCAGTTCTGATGCAGTTACAAGCTACTGGGTGTTGGTGGGGGTGCCTAGCATCACAAAAACACAAGCTGCTGCGTTAGTCAAACTGCTAGTCCATCTAGCTGACTACTGTCAACACAGATTGACATCTCCTAGGAGCCGAGCCTTTTGGTCCCCCTAATACTTATGGGGAGGGGGCTGGCCCCCTGCAGATAGCTATACGTGCATAGGTACCCCCTGTGAATAGGGGCCTATGATAATGCAGGGAACTTGATCAAGTAGAGCATCTATGTGCATACAACTATGTAACTGGCTGCACAAATGGTAGGGGGCCAGGACCTGTGTGCATGGGCTGGGCCATCAGAAATGCTTCTATCTCCACCTCCGAATATTTAGTGTATGCAGGGAGGGGAATGTGTAAAGAGGACTGTTGCATTCTAAAAGAAATCAGTGGGATCTTCACCCGCAGGATGAATCCAACTCTCCAGTCCGTGTTCATATACAATCAGTCAATAGTTCTTCTGTATTACAGTACTTAAGAAGTCAGTTAGGCTTTGACTTTTTTGTAGCAACATCTTTGCTCCCTGGGAGCTTTCCCAGGTCCTGTAGAAATGGCTGGTTCTTTTGCTAATTGTCTGCAACCTGCTGCTTGCTGTCTTCTTGTTGGTCATCTGACTCCTGCTGCTTGACTCCAGCTACTCCTGGCCCATCGATTCAAAGCATCACTCTGCGCTTGCTCAGGATGGATTGCATTTTGCAGAGCCAGGATACACACAAACTTCATGGAATGTGATAAACCTGTAGCATAGTCATGCCTAAAACGAAACAAACGAAAAGGTGAACCAAATCCCTGTGACTCTTTGAAAGGTCAGCTATATAGATATTGTCTGGGAACTCAGTCAAAAGTTCCACTAGTTCATTTAGCTCCAATCTACATTCTCTTGTGTTTCGCTAAAACACTTAGCTTTGGTGGCAAGTTGTCCCTGGCCTAATATGTAGAGTCGTGCCCACGCACACCTGGGTTCTTCTTCAGGTTTGAGCTCTGTCATAATGATTGCACACAAAATGTACCAGGCTAGAGAGGAATCTCTGAGAAAGGAAGATACCAAGTGATTCATTAACCCAGCACCCAATGTCATCTTGTAATTGCCAAATTAGCTGGATCATGACTGTGCATGTTTAACACTCCTGTGGGGAGGTTCTACATGCATACCTGAAGACTGGAATTAACTCTGAGCCATCTCTCAGGGTTAGCAGCAACAGCATATCCTATGGGGCTTTCTTTGCATTCAGATGTCAGGACTGGATTAATCATTCTGCTAAGTAGTCTCCTGAATGGGGTCGTGCCACACCGAGATCCTTTCAATGGTGCATTGACCTGAGATCTCTCTGGGGTGTATATATATTATGCCAAGCACACTGCGTTCTTCCAAAAACCCACCCAGATGTTCAGGGTTAGTTCCTATGTTGTTCTGATGATGTGGTTGCTACTGAGATGAATTACATGAGCACTCAGGCATGGGCAGGAAGGGCTGCCCACGTGATTTGGGATCAACCGTATCCAAACATTACCAGGGATGGAGGAAGCATGGAATGGTTCCTGTTGACTCCAACAAAATGGGCAACCTACATGATTTGGCTTTCTGGCAGCAGCTACACCATGATGAGCACCTGGTCTTTAAAAAAACCCCAACAACAACTGTGGTGACTTTATCACAAGGCAGTTTTGTTTAGAGCTGGTGCCTAGTGACCACTGGGATTGGTAGAGTGGAAGGCAGGGAGTGGTAGGGTGGAAGGCAAGGAGGTGAACAGTAGGTGGCGCTACCGCCAATGACAGGCAAAGCTGACCAATCCTAGTTTTGCCCCTTCTTCCTCCCTGCAGAGTTCTATGAGGGTAACACTGAGATTGAGGAGGAAGAAGCCAACAGACAATGTCATCCTCTGGACTGGATGTAAGTAATTTAGATACTGTATAGTTTTGATCCGGTTTTAAGGAAGAAGAAGGGATGGGGTTTTATGAAAGTCTCAGTTTCAAGCTTATCCACATTGATTTTTTTTCTGTTTTCCATCTCGCCCCTTGATTTCAACAAGAAGCAAGATATTTCCCAGTTCCACTAAAAATGCAAGCAACTCTCACATTGTCATTCATATAATATTGCATACACATTATGCAGATATATACATTCCAGGTTTCCTTAAGTAACCAGCTCATAAACAGATATGTACAGCAATGCCTATAACTGTAGAAAAAATATTTGTGCATGAGTAACTTACCAGTTGTGCTGTAGAAATATAGTACAGCATGAAGCTTGACTCTTATTACACACACACACTGTATACATAAAGAATTTTGCATATTATAAGTTGGGCTTTTTTAGAAAACACACAATGCGCAAGCAGCTTGGATATAAGATGGATCTTGCAAATCTCAGTTGGTTTGGAACTGCCAAATATTGTATATAAATCCATGTAAAATGGATTCCTCCATCATCCTTAGGGAGAACCCTTAGGAACAGCTTTAAATAACAGTAGCTGTTCCTGGAAGGTACAGAACTCCTAAGATAGGGAATGGCCTTATACTGACTCTACCCATTGATCCATCTGACTCATTAACAGCTACTGTTGGTAGGAGTGGTCTAATATGTCATTTTAGATGCCACCCCCCCCCAATCCTGTTACCTGAGATTAACTGAACCTGGGATATTGGGTGAGTTAGTCATTGAGCTGTGAACTATCATATATCCCTATATTATATTATTAAGGCCCGCAAGGTCAATTAAAAGGTAAAGGTAAAGGTACCCCTGCCCGTACGGGCCAGTCTTGACAGACTCTAGGGTTGTGCGCTCATCTCACTCTATAGGCTGGGAGCCAGCGCTGCCCGCAGACACTTCCGGGTCACGTGGCCAGCGTGACGAAGCTGCTCTGGCGAAGCGGCACCAGAGCAGCACACGGAACGCCGTTTACCTTCCCGCTAGTAAGCGGTCCCTATTTATCTACTTGCACCCGGGGGTGCTTTCGAACTGCTAGGTTGGCAGGCGCTGGGACCGAGCAGCGGGAGCCCACCCCGCCGCGGGGATTCGAACCGCCGACCATGCGATCAGCAAGTCCTAGGTGCTGAGGTTTTACCCACAGCGCCACCCGCGTCCCTGCAAGGTCAATTAGGTTGGTTTTATTCTGATTTATCTCAGTTTGCTTTATTTTATTGCATCTGCCAGGAAGCTAGCCCTACCCTGCTAGTTGTTTTGGTTTCAACCTCTCCATTCCCCAGCCCAGCCCAGAGCCTAATCAAGCCTCGCCACCCCAAACAATTTTTTTTCTGGACCTCCGGAACCCTACCAATTTTGGCAGAGGTTTAAACATAAATTAAATTTAAGTAGGCACAGCACTTGCCTGGGGGAGTCAATTGCTCCCACCCTAGTTATCAATTTTTCAAGTGAAGAGGGGGCATTAAAAGTTCCTCCTTAGCTGATCTGCACAGTATATGTGTAGTGAAAGAGTACCAGTAGCCACATTCACTGCTGACATTGGCCCCCTGGAAGGTTCATCAAGGGAGACTGCGGCCCTCCAGCAAAACAATATTGACCACCTCTGAGTTCCCTTTCTCTCTCTCTCTTATTCTCTCCCATAGCAGTCTGTTGTTCTTTTTATATGAAAATACCAACCTCATACCCTACGAGTGTCCTGGAAAAAACAGGACATCCCTTTTTTTTTTCCTCACGAGAGAACAGTGGCCATTTTGGACGTTGCGATCTCGCATGATTTCACATCACTGTTTCCCCATGAAAAAACTTTTTTTAAAAAAGTGGTGCGATCTCTCACGGCACCCCAAAATGCACATTCATGGGTGCCATGCCCCCCCATGCTTTTCCAGGGAGAAATCGCAGCGCAAAATTTTGCGAGATCACGGCCTCCAAAATGGCCGCCGTTCTCTCGCGAGATCGTGTCCCGGATTTTGCAGTCAAGGTGTGGGAGGGTATGCATCCTCCCTGCCCTGGTGTGGACTAGAGCAGGCATAGGCAAACTCGGCCTCCAGATGTTTTGAGACTACAAGTCCCATCATCCCTGACCACTCGTCTTGTTAGCTAGGGATTATGGGAGTTGTAGGCCAAAAAACATCTGGAGGGCCAAGTTTGCCTATGCCTGGACTAGAGGGCAGGAAACCCAGATGAATCGCCTCCAACCATCACTTACCTTGCACTGTCCCTCTTATCTCCTATGGAGATGCACCTTCTGAACATCACAGCAAACAAAATGCCTTCATCCTTGCCCTGCTTAGTGGAGGCTGAGCCATTAGGGTAGATGGAGCACTGTCCCACCAACCTCAGGTGTCCTGCTAGCTCCCCACTCTCTTCCTTCTTGTCTACTTCTTACCTGCAGTCAGGAGGTGGTTGCTGGAACCATTGGCCTCCTTGCCTTCTGCCCTACCATCTCCAATGGTCACCTGTCCACAGAAATCTGCTAGGAAGCCATAGGGTGGTGGTGATCATTCTGTGGTCTCAAGAAGCCCCTTGCCTGCTCTCCATTGTCTGCCGGGGTTGAGAAAGTGGTGACCTTCAGTGCAAACCTTCCTCCCATTTTGTTTTCCTTCCTGGCACCATCCCATGAGTATGAAGGATGGAGCCAGAAGCATTACAAGTGACTCAGGTGTACCCCGGCACGATAAAAGATCCTGAGCTCTGCTTCCTCTTACTCACATCGCAGATATTGCTAGAGTAAACAGTCCTCTTAGAAACACAGTTCCATCAAGGCCATTCCTGAGCCTCAAGATCTACTTCCTGGGAGGTCGCCAAGAACATCTTACCGTACATGAGTGCAGTAACACAGGCAAGGGGAGTGTTCAAAGTGTCTGGACAGGAAAAGTTTGAATGCCAGCCAGAGGAATCTTTTGGTTTCAAAATGTTCAGGATTTTGAGCACTTTCCCTGACTTACAGCTCCATAGCACTTTACCATAAGAAGTTCAGACTTGTCAGCCATCAATTCATTAAGAAATGAATGGTTTCTCATTTCAGGTGGACCTAAGCTGCAGAATTCTGAAGGATTTGGCATGAATGAGCACTAGATTTGGGTTCAGAGCTGAGGTATAAGAGGCTTGCTTCAAACTTCTTATGATTCTCTGCACATTGTCAATGCCTAAGAGGCTGGCAGCTGGAAACCCCAAAGTCAATGAGATATACCAGCTGGACTCTTCTCCATTGCCATCTCAGGGAGGTTTGGTGGTATCTGGAGGAGATGGTGGCTCTGCCAGTTAGGGAGGACAAATCTGTCCCAGGAAATGATCCATAATGAATTGAAAAAATTGTTTAAAAGTACTTTCCCCAAAGTCCTTTCTGCTGGGAATAATTCAGACTGAAATTCCCAGGTGTCAAAAAAGGTTATTTATGTATGCCATTACTGCGTCCCATGTTTTGTTAGCCCCAAAATGGAAAACGAGTGAGGTCCCAACCAAAGAACAATGCAACTCAAGTTGACAGAATATGGGCAGCTTGCAGACTTAACATATAGAATAAGAGAACAAGAAGAACATACGTTTAAAGATTGGAAAATGTTTATTGAATATATGGGAAATAACTGTGTACAGCTGAAAACGCTGGCAGCATTAAGATCAATTCAACAGTGTAAATAAGTTTTGATGGATGTAATAATGGAATACTGAATGGTATAGTTTCTGTAAAATATGCAGGGATTTATGATATGTAAAAATGAACAATGGAAAGGGAAGAAGGGAAGTCACTGATATCTTAAGGATGTAAAAACGAGTACTTTAAATTGTAAAACAGAAAATTTATATATATATAGGAGGAAAAATCTGTCAATTTCCATTCTGTCAATTTCTTCTTTTTCCAATCCTAAATTCCATTCTCCACATAGAAGTCATAGAATCATGCAGCTGAAAGGGACAAGAGGGTCATCTAGACCAACCCCCTGCAATGCAGGAACCCAGCTGTCCCTGGGTGGGCTCAAACCACCAACCTTCTGGTTAACTGCTAGATGTACTGACCCATTGTGCCACCTGAGATTTCTGCAGCGTTTTTGTTTTTATTTTTTAATCCTCATGGAAATTCATCACCATTTCAATGTGACTTTCTCCTAAAAAACACATGCTGCTTTGACATCCATGTTTCTGCAAGCGTTTTCATCCAATGTAATGAATTTCAAGTGTGCTGTTTTCACCAATACGCGCATTTTGTGCACCTTGTAAGATATGACCCCTTTTTTTACACATTGCTTGGCTGAAGTTACAGAGACGAAAGCTGGCAACACTAACCCTGTTGTGTGGGAATCCCTTCAGACCACTGCAATGCCTGAAGACAGACAGCAAGGTCCTGCAGCCACAGCAGTGACCAGAGGAGGAATGACCACTGGGAGGAACACAGAGGAAAAAACTGCTTTGGTGCATCTACAGTAGCACAGCTGGATGCCTTCATCTGCCTCAGCTGCAATAAAACATTTGTCTCTACAGCCACAGCAGGCACTGTAGCCTTCCAACAGTTCGACCTCACCCCTGAAGGTGCACTCCTCCATTATCTCCCAAGACAGATAGATGCCAACAGCAACTTGGCTGAAGAAATGCGCTGCAAATTTCAGAGGAGTGTGAATTTCAAATGACAACTGTGCTGGGCCTGGGGGTAAACCCAAGCAACGCAGTCCAGGTCCGGTCCTAAATCCAAGGGTTCAGCTAAGAGTCAGTCTGACAGGGTCAAGGCAGGAAACCAGGCTAGGTCAGGCACAGGGTCACAGGCAGGTTCTAGCAAACAGCAATGTTGCTCCCGCAACCTGGGGCGGGGTCCGACAGCCTTTTATCTTTGTTGGGGTAACGGCCGGTCCTGATCCCCTGGTGACTCACCTCTCTGTCTCGCCCGAAGGCGAGCACTCCTCCTGTGAGTATTCAGGTCTCTCCTTCTCTCAGACCTGAGTCTCTGCAACTCGGGAGACGTCGGTGGGTTACTAGACCCAGAGGCCGCCTCAGCCTCCCCTGACCCAACCAGTAGTGGAGCAGCTGTGAGTGATGGCCCAGCTGAAGGCAACGAGGTAATCCCTGCATCTGAAGCCAGGGCAGGCTCAGGCCCCTGACTCAGCCCAGCTGGTGCTTGTTGCAGGGGAAACTGTGCAGACTGGGGCTCTTCAGAATCAGACCCCAGACTTGGTTCAGATGCCACCTGAGGCAGAAGATTCGGTGCGGACTGAGACTCCTCTGGTTCCGACTCCGAGCCCGAGTCCCAGGCCATCACAACAACTGTGTTTCGTGGATTTGTTGATTTGGAAGGGACCCGTAGGGGCATCCACAGAAGAATCACATCTAAAATTTCCCTGACAGATGGCCACCCAATCTCTGCTTGGAAACCTCAAACAAAGGAGAGTCTGCCATTTTCTGAGGTTCACATCTTGTTTCAGATAGTGTGAATGTCTTAGGTTTACCTCTTAATGCAGACTGAACTGAACTTTCTCCCTCATTCCTAGTGCCAAACTGGACACTTTGGAAGGATAGAAAAAGCCCACCGCCTCCCTCCTCCCTACTCAAAGTATTCCTTCTGGAAAGCTATTTTCCAGTTCAGACTTTCCACAATCCTCAGCCATCACAGTACTGAGTGGATCCATTTAAGATGCAGAGGGATCACTCACCGGTAACATTTGCAGTCCTGGAATATAATATATCTTTATTTGTAGCAGGGCCTCATGTTCCACCCCCACCCATGGTTGTTGCTGGGTTTTTTAACATAAAGACAACCATTTCAGTCTGTGTGGATAGGATCTATATATATATAAAGGCTGAAATTATGGCTTGGAAAATATTCGTGCCAAGGTATTTCTATAGGACCAAGTATAAGCAGGAGACATTTCTAAGCCTGGAACATTTGTGGACAAGTTTCTGACATGTTATTTAGGTTACGGTGATTGGAGCAGATGTGTCACATGGAACATTTCCTGTGCTTTGATTGGGGGAGTGCGGGTTACACCTTCAATGGACGGCCCTTCAGTTGGTCAGAGTCCAGTCAGTGCTCTGTGTGTTTCTGACATTGACACTCTTTTTCCATATCTATCTGTGCCAGAGAGACTTGGTTACTGAAATATTCCTCAAGAGTTCGTGCAACTGCTCCTTTGAAAGATACTGCAGGAGTTCTAAATAAGTATGTGTGCCTTCAGAAGCAAGGCTGAATTTATATTTTATTCACCATGGGGTAAACATTTGAACAATACCTTATTCTAGAAGGATCAACCTTACCAGGACCTGCCCGCTTTCAAAACGTCGAATTTCAGGTGGTCCCCTTCAAGGAACCTGCTCTCTGCCCTGAGCATCTGCTATGGAATCCTAATCATCATCATAATGTTTAGCATTTGTGCATTTAGTGCCGTAACAAAATTGGTCCTCAGATTACGTATACGTCCTCTTCCATCGTGAAAGAGGCTTCCTTAATTCTCTCTCATTCTCAGGACACGTGAGACAGTGAGCTCCTGGTTGTTCCTTTCCAATTGGGGAATGCTGTCAGGGCTGGCAGCAAGTCCCACTGGGCTCAGCTTCACAAAGAAATTCCCCAGAATTTTACTAGGATGCCATAGTAAAGGCAAAGGGGCTTGCTTTCAATGCCAACAGCAAGATCCACTTCATCCATTTCCAGACAAAGTTTTGATTCATACCACGCCAGCAATCCCCCTCCTCTCAAGACAGTGTCTTTACCAACTGTGGTGGCTCCCGGTGGAGTACAGGGTCAGGTTTAAGGCTCTGGTTTTGACCTTTAAAGCCCTATGCGGCCTAGGACCCACGTACCTACGGTACTGCCTTTCCTGGTATGCCCCATGGAGGACCTTAAGGTCCACAAATGACAACACTTTGGAGGTCCCAAGTCACAAGGTGGTTAGATTGGTCTCAACTAGGGGCAGGGCCTTTTCAATACTGGCCCCAACTTGGTGGAACGCTCTGTCACAAGAGACTAGGGTCCTGCGGGACTTGAAAATCTTTCCGCAGGGCCTGCAAGACAGAGCTGTTCCGCCTGGCCTTTGGTTTGGACACAGACTGACCCTTATGTTTCCCTCCCCTTCTGGTTTTGATCTATGGGCTACTATTAAAATGAGGCTGCATTTTAAATTGTATTTTAACCTGTATTTTAAATTGGTTCCCCCCTCCCCCCATTATGTTTTTATTGTAATTTTACTGGTGTTAGCCGCCCTGAGCCCGGCTCTGGCCAGGGAGGGCGGGGTATAAATAAAAATTTATTATTATTATTATTATTATTATTATTATTATTATTATTGATGATGATGATGTTCTGAGTGACACACTGCAGTTCCTATTTTGGCAATATCCAGTCCCACTGGGCTTCACCATTTCCCAGCACAAATGGAGAGAACAAAAAATTCCTTATCTCTATAACTGCCAGGGGAGATCTGTAGCGGTTGGCATGTTGCGTCTCAAGGAAGCGAGTCTCCCATCACCAATCTCACGGTAAACGTCCAAGGAACTGCAGATCACAGCTTGCCACCCCTACCATTAGACAGAGTGTGCAGCTGCCTTAGGTGGCAGGCGCTGAGAAGGAGCAGTGTTATAGGAGAGCACTGTGGGTGTTGCATGGCCCGATGTAAGATTTAGCTGCTCGTTCAGCTTATTCACATGGACTGGGAGAGAGGGTACCATCTTGCTTTGCTCAGGCAGCAAAATGTCTTGGACCGGCCCTGAGCTAAGAATTCGCTGCCATCTAAATTAGATCAGTACACATAATCTAGAACATCCATGCAAGCAAAGGACAATAAGAGGCTAGAGGTGGTTGCAGGATTAAGACCATCTCTGCACACATCTCTGCACACCCTGTGTCCACTGGGGCTTGCTGCCTAGTAACTGTGTTCTGGATTGCAGCTTGAATCTATGTAATAAAGTGTACTTGGAGGCCCAAGCAAGTTTCAGATAATTTGGAGATACCAGCCAACCAAGCCTTCGGGGGTGATTTCTTCCCAGAGCCAAGTGCAGTAATAAAGGAAAGCCTCCCTGCACATCTGCAAGCCGTATCCTCACAGAAAGTCCAGTTTCCACCTTTTCTTTTTAACAGCAATATTTACAATATTTCAGAAGTGCCTGCTCCTGTTCCCAGGGGTGTAAGTACAGTCTGTGACAACTCAGTTGCAATAGTGAGGCACTTCGTACATGCCCAGAGGCAATCTCCTCTTTATTCTTAAGATTCAAGCATACACTGTGGTACATTTCCCTTTATTCCTGGGCTTTGGCCCATAGCTTTGTAGAATGTAGGTGGCTATTGAAAGCAGTTTTCCATGCAAAGATTGCAGCTCTCCTTAGAAAACCATATACACTCAGAGTTACTTGATCCTAGCTAAGTAGCCGCTTAGTTATAAGCAGCTATCTCTGTTCCTTGAGCAAGCAGGTAACTGTGCATAGGAGATGAATGGTCTCCCTCCTTGCTCCCTCCTTGGAGGTTTTTAAGCAGAGGTTGGAAGGCCATCTGTCATTGATGCTTTAGTTGAGATTCCTGTGTTTCAGGTGGTTGGACTAGATGACCCTCGGGGTCCCTTCCAACTCTGCAATTCTTTGATTCTATGAGGCACAGTGTACAATGTCATCAGATGCTTTGGGAAGTGCCAAACGCTCTAAAGAGCTGAACATCTTTCACCCCAGCCTCTTCCGAGATCATCGCTATTCCACGCAAATGGAAGCGACATTATTTTTGGCCCCCGCCTATGTGCTTCTGTCTACATTTGCAGAGTAATGGCATAGTCTTTCACCTGAAGATCTTTGCAGGAGACAACAATCGGGAATTCATTGCCTGTTGTAAATGCCTTTTAAAAGTCCAAGCCTTTCATCACGATGACAGCGAGTGAGAAGGTGCAGCGGCTGAGTGAATGAATGATAGGATGGGTGGATGAATGAATGTGCATTCTGCTTAGATTATTCCTAATAAGGCGGTGTACAAGCGATTGTTTTGCAGAGGCTTAAAGGCGCTATGATAGAGTGATCATTGCCCCTGGGAACACACCTTCCTGTGGCCAGCTTTTTTGGTGCGCCAACAAAAACTAGAGATCTTGCTGATGCTCCATAAATGGTGGCATGTAGATTCCTAAATAAATAAAACCACACAGAAATGCAGCAGAATGACTTACCCTAAGTGGAGAGTGTCTGTTGCACCTCTGCATGAGCCATTGATCTGGGATAGCCTCCTTCTGATTACAAGGAAAGTGGCAATTGGGTAAGGGTGACAGCAGGAAATATTGCGGTGGGAAGAAGAGGAGATAGCAGAAGAGAAGCAGCCGGAGACCAGGAAGGATACAAGGACAAACAGACTGGGGGGAATTAGCAGGAGAGAGCTGTTGCTCCCATGTGCTGCTGGCCCCTGTGATAGCAGAATGTTAAATAAAACAGACCTTGATGTAACTCTACTGGGGTTCTTCTTAAGGACATCAGAAAAGTAATGCTGGATCCCTGCAGGGGCGGACTTGGGTCTTTTCCATTTCAGCGGCACCTTGTGCAAAGCCCAAATCTGCCACCCCTTGTGCCTCCTGCCTTCCATTCTGCTTGAATCACTACGCCATAGTTGTGACACCTCGCAGCTCTCCCTAGACTCAGCGCACGGGGCGGCGGAACTGATCGCGCTGCCCTAAATCTGCCTCTGCTCTCCTGGGCTGGCACCCCCAAGCTTTGGAGTGTAGTGAAACAGCCAAGCGAGGGTCCTCTGCTGATCTTTGCACCCAAGAGGGCCTGTAAAGAAAGAGGTGGTCTTTTGAATATTTGGGACTTGAGTTGTTAAGGGCTTAAAGCACTCATGTGAGCACCTGGAATGGGGCCTGGGAATGGCAACCGGTTCTCACCGTGGCCAACCAGCCTAGATAGCTCAGTTGGTTAGAACGTAGTGCTATTAAGGCCAAGGTTGCAGGTTCAATCCCTGTATGGGACAGCTGCATATTCCTGCATTGCAGGGGGTTGGACGAGATGGTCCCTTCCAACTCTACAATTCCGTGACCCAAGTATAACCATCCTCTCCCCACTTGTGATCCCCAGCAATTGCCATTCAGAGGAGGCAGAAGACCATCATAGCCTGAATGAATACCAGCAATTGAAGAAAAAGTGAGAAGATGGATGAGTTGGAATTTGACTGGCTGCCTGTGTGCTTGCTTCTCCTCCACCATAATACCTGTACATTTGTAAACCCAACCAATTATTACACATTAAGCCTCCAGAACTTTATGCTCCAGAGGTAGGGCCCCCTGACCATTAGGTCCAGTTGTGGCCAACTCTGGGGTTGCTGCGCTCATCTCACTTTATTGGCTGAGGGAGCCGGCGTACAGCTTCCGGGTCATGTGGCCAGCAGGACTAAGCCGCTTCTGGTGAACCAGAACAGCGCACGGAAACGCCGTTTACCTTCCCGTCGGAGCAGTACCTATTTATCTACTTGCACTTCGTGCTTTTGAACTGCTAGGTTGGCAGGAGTAGGGACTGAGCAACGGGAGCTCACCCTGTCGCGGGGATTCGAACTGCGACCTTCTGATCGGCAAGTCCTAGGCTCTGTGATTTAACCCACAGCGCCACCCACATCCTTGCTCCAAAGGTAACACCCTGCAAAGACTGTTCTGAGCTTCCCATTACTTAAAGAATGGTGCAGGGAGGGAGAGATGCAATGCTAGAAAACAACTCAGGTATCTGATATAATGATGGAACTCCGGCATAGCTGATTACTCTGCTTCCTTCCAATGTAGCCTCCTTTGTCTCGGGAATTAAGCATGCTTTGTACCATTGCGCCGGCTAATTATATCGCCATCTAATTCGCTTTCAAGTATTACGAATGCAAAGTGAAAGGGACCAGTGTCCGCATTTTTCAGGCTGCAGCGGGGCGGAACGATAAGTGGCGGGAGCGACTTCGTTTCTTGAAAGAGAACCAGGAGGAGGTGTCCGCTCCTTCCCTCTTAATTGGACAAATTGTCGGAGCCGCCGTGGAAAGGAGAAGAACAGATAAAAAGAGTAGGAAAGGGGGGGGTGTAGAATCCACTTCCAAAGCTCGCCGACTTCTCCTCTGACAACCCAAAAGAAACCTGAGCGTGGAGATAAGGGCAGTGCCAACGCCTGGGCTCTTCTGGGAAGCAAGAGAGACTGGAACGGGTTAAGGCCTATCTGGCTCAGTCCCCAGTAGACATAAAAATCACCTGAGCCTGCTCTGAAATAAATCAGTGTCCCTTTTCTGCTGCTGCCGTTGTCTGGAAATAATGCAAATGCAAGAAGGCCCGCAGTGACATTGTGCCGCACTCCAAGGAGACACATAATAAATTGTCCCCTAATACTGTTAAAGCGACATTTTCTTCTTACTCAGTAGCTTTTGAGGTTGAACCGAGGTTTTCTCTCGCCAAACACCGTAATACGGTATCATGTCATCGTGTCCTCTTATTCCTCCCGCCCCTCCTGCCTCGAATGCACAGTCGCAGCTTCGGAGTGGCAAGATGCACTTTTCCTGTTACATTCATTTTATTGGCATAGCCCAGAGAGTTTTCCTTTCTCTCTTCTTCTCCTTTCTGATATAGAATCATTTCCTTTTGAACTTTTGCCTGAGCTGATATTTGGCTCTGCTGGTGCGCTCGCTCTCTCTCTCTCTCTCTCTCTCTCTCTCTCTCTCATTCCCCCCTCTCTCTTTCTGCAATCAAGGGGGAAAAAATGCATACAAGTGCAGTTTCTTTACAAAAAAACTAAATAGAAGAAGAAGAAGGGGACAGGGAGGACTGGTGTGTCCATTGTGTCACCATTTGATCTTTGATTGCTCAAAAGAATCCCCACTTCAGTGGAATCAGTACCTAGGCATTGCCAAGGATCCAGCCACTTCAAAGGAATTTTAACTTAGAATCATAGAATTGTAGAGTTGGAAGGGACCCCAAGGGTCATCTAGTCCAACCCCCTGCAGTTCAGGAATCCCCCATCCAATTAAACCATGCAGGACTCTGCTTAGCTTTGCAAATGTGGTAGTAGTTTTGCTGCTGCACCTAAAGGGAAGCACCGCTTCAAATAAATGCATGCAGAAGACTCAAAGCAGAGATGAAATGAACTTTTCCCCCCAGAGAAAGGGGTATAGATTTTCATGACTGTATCATTGTCCGTCTTAAAATATTGGGGTGTCCTGGTTTTGGAGTTCTCCAAAGAGGAAAAGTTAAATGGGTGCAACTTTCCAGAGCATTAGCCCCGTTAATCTCTCTCTGCAAAAAATAATAGTAACAAAACCCAAGAGTCTTATATCACCTTTACAACGAGTGCATTTATTGATATTTAACAGATGTTTTTATCTTTCAGGTAGTGCAAGACTTTTTGAGGGATTTTTCTGAATGGATTAATTTACTCCTTTTCTTATCTCTCTCAAGTATTTTCAGAATGGGCTTCTGAAAGCCTTTCTAGATGTGAAGGAGTTTGGGGAAACCCCGTTTTCATTCTTACACTAGCACTGCCGCTCCTCTTTTCCCCCCTGCAAAAAACAGAAGAATCCCCTTCACCAAGTATTCACTGAACATGTGAAGAAGATACATAGAAAGCTACCTCATACTGAGTCAGACCAACACTCTGTCACAGATTTACAGAATTGTAGATTTGGAAGGGACCTTCCTCTGGTCCAGGCCTCCCCAAACTCGGCCCTCCGGATGTTTTGGGACTACAACTCCCATCATCCCTAGCTAACAGGACCAGTGGTCAGGGATGATGGGAATTGTAGTCCCAAAACATCTGGAGGGCCGAGTTTGGGGAGGCCTGCCCTAGTCCAACCCCCTGCATTGCAAGAATCTCAACACAAACCAATTGGAAATGGGTTTCCAATTTGAAACCAGACCAGACCCTGCTCAGCTTTGCAAATGTGCTAGCAGTGTTATTGCTGCATCACTGGGAGAATGGAGCTAGCTCAGTATGGCATTTACAATTTCCCTACATTTATAATCTGCCTTTCATGCATGATGCAACTGAAACCAGTGTTTCTGTGCTTCCGAAATGGCCTCCCATCCAGGCATTGACCAGGTGCAGACCTGCTTAGCTTCAGTAAGGATGGTGGCCCCATGTGTCTTCAGACCATACCCTACAGCAGAATGTTATGTGATATGGAGACAGCTGTAGGCTCTTCCTTATGGTTTTATCCATGCATATCTGGTGTTTTATATGGAAGAGCGTTTCGCATTTTAAATCCCCCACCTGTAATCTGAAATGCGAAGGCCCAGTGGCAGATACGTCTGGCGGAGTTTCTCTTGATTTTCCTTAGCTTCTTGCCATCCCTTTGTGGTGCAGCATTATCCAGATTAGTGGGTCTGCAGAAAAAGGGGAATGCCTATAGGTAAAGGTAAAGAGACCCCTGACCATTAGGTCCAGTCGTGGCCGACTCTGGGGTTGCGGTGCTCATCTTGCTTTATTAGCCAAGGGAGCCGGCATACAGCTAATGGTCATGACTAAGCTGCTTCTGGTGAACCAGAGCAGCGCACAGAAATGCCATTTACCTTCCTACCAGAGCGGTACCTATTTATCTACTTGCACTTTGTGCTTTTGAACTGCTAGGTTGGCAGCAGCTGGGACCGAGCAACGGGAGCTCACCCCGTCGCAGGGATTCGAACAGCCAACCTTCCGATCGGCAACCCCTAGGCTCTGTGGTTTAACCCACAGCGCCACCCGCGTCCCACGAACGATGCCTTGGGTAAGGTCAAATCCCTATATCACGCTGCCCTTCAAGCCATATTGAATCAGTAAAGTATCTTTTCAGTTACGGTTATATTAGAGATAGCTATTGACTTCCTTCTTGTTTATTGCGCAATAAAACATGCTGTAGCGGGGGGGGGGATAAAAAAAATAAAGGTTTACTTTGCAACAGAGAATTGGCGGGCGTCGTTTAGAGCTGACTCTTCAGGTCCTCGGCCACATGCCCCAACGCTCGTGTTTCATGGGATATTCTGAAAACCAATTAAGTCTCCTCCAACCAACGACACTGACATGCATAATTAGAGAACGCTCTCTTAGGCGTATCTATAAGTTTGGTGCTAAAGTGGTCCCCTGAGTCTCTTGGTTGTATAATCAAAATACAAATGAAAGGTTATGAGAGCCCATTTCTTTGCTTTATTGTTTCGAGCTAACAATCTGCTTTCTTTCTGTTGATTCAAAAGTGGGTGGGTGCCCTTCTGCTTCTCTTAAGCCAAGGAGAAAGGCACCTTCTCTCTAACATCTCCATCTTCTAGTGTGGATGGCAGCAGCGCTGCGGGAGCTCGCAGAGCCCGGAGAGGGCACACACATGCCAGGGGGCAGACCACAGAGGGTGAAGGAGCAATGGATCCAAACTACAAGAAAGAAGATTCCACCTAAACATTAGGAAGAACTTCCTGACAGTAAGAGCTGTTTGACAGTGGAATTTGCTGCCAAGGAGTGTGGTGGAGTCTCCTTGTTTGGAGGTCTTTAAGCAGAGGCTTGACAACCATATGTCAGGAGTGCTCTGATGGTGTTCCCTGCTTGGCAGGGGGTTGGACTCGATGGCCCTTGTGGTCTCTTCCAACTCTATGATTCTATGATTCTAAGGAGCCCACCACAGCCTGGCCAGCCAACACGGCACTTGGCAGGCATGAAGCGTTGGTTCCTCTGATGCTAGGAGAGGAGGACTGGGCCAGGTCATTCTGAGGGTGCCTGTTTGTGGGTGCCTGCTTCATGCTCCCTCAAAATAATAATAAATAATAATAATAATAATAATAATAATAATAATAATAATTTATTTATACCCTGCCCATCTGGCTGGGTTTCCCCAGCCACTCTGGGCAGCTTCCAACCAAATATTAAAATACAATAATCTATTATACATTAAAAGCTTCCCTAAACAGGGCTGCCTTCAGATGTCTTCTAAAAGTCAGATAGTTGTTTTCCTCTTTGACATCTGGTGGGAGGGTGTTCCACAGGGCAGCTGCCACCACT